CCTGCATGCCCCCTGCTGAGAATCAACCAGCAACCAGGGCAGGTGCCCTGACCTGAATCGAATCAGCCACCTCTTGGTGTGCGGGTCCATGCTCAGTCACAGCCACACCGACAAGGCACGTTTGAAGCCCTTTTGTTGTTCGACGATCATGTAGTTGGGATATCTGGCTAGGTAAATATAATCCATGCTGACGATAAGGGCACAGGCACAAGACTTCTGAACAATATGAAATATAAATTATGTTAAGTTTAAATAATCAGTAACAATGGAAGGGAATGGAAGTTACAACGTTGCCGAAAGTAGTTTCTGTTGTTTTATGAGTTGTGGGAGTTTCTACAGTAGCTTTGGCCGGCATAAATCACTAAGTGTAACAGCAAATCCTTATTTGCTGTCAAATCACCTTGGTGAAGACTACAATTCCCAGAAGGCAACGCTCCTCTCCCTTGGCTCCACTCCCTCTGGAAGTTGTATTTTATCGAAGGACGCCTTCCAAATGAGTTTTATGCACTGTGAGCAAGGACTCAGCCGTACAGCCCTCTCCTGCGTCCGCGTCGTCTCAGTTTCAGGAGAAGCTCGTCTTTCTGAGCCTCATCTTTGTGCCTGGTTGGCCCGGAAGCCGGCTGTCAGCGGGCCGGCAAGGCGCTCTAGGCCGAGCGTGCTCGTCTCTATGACCACAGGAGGCGGTCCCGGGCGTTTGGCCGGGCGGGCGCGGAGGGGCGCGCGTCAGTTCCGCGAGGGGCGGTCTGGAGAAGATGGCAGCGGCGAGAGGTGAGGCTGGTGCCACCGGGACTGGCGAGCCCGCGGGGGGCGGTGGGAGAAGAGCGTCAGTGCTCGTCCGCACCTGTCCGCGCCCCAGGGCCCTCGGCGCCCGCGGGGCTCCAGAGCTAGGCTGGGGCGCCGGGGGTCAGGAGTTTGTGTGGAGCCGCCGAACAGCCAGCCTTCCTCGGCGGCTACCTTGCCCGGGGCGGACTCCGCGCGGGACAGTTCGGCGGCTCCAGAACAAGCGGCCTCAACGAGCTGGTGGTGTCTGGGAACCAGATTCAGACAGGCCCGGGCTGCGGCCCACCCGGAGAGGGGCCGGGGCGCAGGTCCCGGCTGGACCCGTCCGGCCCAGCGGGAGGCAGGACCGCTCCCTGTCCGGCCAGGGTCCCCGCACCTGCGGTCTCAGCGGCGCCTCCCGCCGCCGAGATGCTCCGAGGCCGAGGGCGTGCTCCAGGTGCAGAGCTTAAGCGGCTGGTCCATGGGACTGGCAGTAAAAACATCATTGGGGCTTTAAAGCGGCACTGAAACCGTGACGAGATGCGGAAAGCAGTCCTTAACAGAGTTCCCCCCAAGGACAGTGTTGTGTGGTGAGAAGGAAGACTGATGTTTTGGGTGGGAGGTGAGGAGGTCCACCCCCTTCTCCGCAGGAATGGCACTTTAGAGTGCTGTTTAACTTTAGAGTGCTATTTAATGACTGACTGGCCTTTCCTGAGGGGGAGTGCGGTGAACTCCGCAGCCCGTTTGTTTTGCTGAGTAGGGTAAGTTAGGACCAGAGCTGAATTTCTGGACTGTAGAGCAGTGGCTAGGAGGGGTTGGGTGACACCCAGTTCTTTCTTCACCCTCCCCCCATAGTGCACTTGGCTTCACCTCTGAATAAATGTTAAACTAGTGTTTAAAGCATGGGTGCCAAATTAGTTTCCTGGTTGGGGAGTCTCATTTTTCATTTAAGCCCTGCCCAGGATTATTGCCTGTAGTTGCATATGCTTCTTTTATGCATTCTCCCATTTCAAGTACGTGCAGCCTTAAGAGCCTTTTTTTGTAACAACACAGGAAGTAAAGGGGAAAAACCAGAATTGTTTTGATAACTAACAGAATGGGAAGAGCAAGATTAATGAGTGAACTTGAAAGGAGTCCAAGTCATTACCTGAAATAGTTGTAACAATTTATCATTTTAGGCTACTGCCAATACTTATTTGTTGTGCCTTGATCGTATTATAGATATGTTATGCTATTTAGAAATATATAAACTTAACAAGATTGCAGTTGCCATAGCTTCCTGATATTCACAAAGGATTTATCTGGAATGCCCTGAATTTCCACGTTCTCAGGTGTTACAAATAATGCCCCCTCTGAAATATAGTAATATATAACAAAAAAACAAAAGTTCAGACTGTAAATTTCTTTTGGGGAACATTTTCTACACAAACAATGTGTGGGAGCTAATGGGAACTGTGAGAAATAGAAAACAATGCAGATGTGCTAATGTGCCATTGTGCCAACTCAACAGGAGTTGTGAGCTAGGTTTATAGTTCCTGGCCTTGGGCACAATGTGAATACTTAGCAGAATTTACAGTGAGTACATGAACTTTTTCTTTTACCTTGAAAAAATGGAAATTGCTAATAATTGATATTTCATACTGGAGCATTTGTGAATGGAGTGAAGAACTACTTTGACCCACTGTTAAACTGCAATTAGAGAAAATAATGCTTAAAAGCATTAATTATTTTTTAAAAGTTTGTTTTTTAAATGGTGTTCCATACCAAAGCCCTATTATGTTTTACAAGTGTCTAAACTTATTTGTTTGCTCTTCCACTTAGACCATTATTTTCAAGAATATAATATATATTCCTATATAATCACTATGCAAATAGTTATACTTCCAAAGTTGATGACAGTGATACCTATAGGTCACAATATACTTGTAGGCTATAAGTATTTGGTTTAGTGTTTAAACATTCACTATGTTGTTTCAGGGACAGTTTTCAGTTTGGCAGTCGTAACCTCTCTTATTTATGAAAGTGTTGATAATCTCGGACATGGGTTGGCAATTACTTTCTGTAAAGGACTGGATGTCATTACCGGTCAACTCTGCCGTTGCAAGGCAAAAAAATGGTCATAAACAATTTGGAAACTAATGAGCGTGGCTGTGTTCTAATAATGCTTTATTTTTGGACAACATTTGAATTTTATATAATTTTTACGTGTCACAAAAGGTTATTTTAAAAGTCCCCCACCCCCCAACTATTTAAAAATATAAAACTGTTCTGAACTTGCAGGCAGTATAACAATGAGAAATGAGATGTAGCTTGCTCACCCCTGAACTGGAAGATGGGAAGTGCTTTCTCCTTTACTGAGTAATTAAAGGTTATTGCTGTTTATTTTTGTGTAGGAAAGTTTTAGAACAAAGGAAGTGTTGTAGTGATCTTCACTTCCTTTCACATAACCATTGCTTTTTGGCTCCTTAGGTCTTTTGGAAAGAAAGTTTAGGCAGATATAAGCTCTATTTCTTCTGTTCTATCACATTACTTTTTAGTTAATACCTAATATAATTTAAAAAATTGTCTACTGTTTACAAATAATTCTTTTTTTAAAAAAATATATTTTTATTGATTTCAGAGAGAGGAAAGGAGAGGGAGGGAGAGAGAGAAACATCAATGATGAGTCATTGATCGGCTGCCTAGCCCGCAACCCAGGCATGTGCCCTGACTGGGAATCGAACCCCGATCGCCTGGATCCTAGGTTGATGCTCAACGGCTGAGCCACACCCGGCCGGGCTACAAATAATTCTTTAGTTACCACCAGGGAAATATTTATATTGAAGAACCTGTAACCTTGAAAGTTTCTGCCTTATATATGTAAAGATAATTTGCTTGAAACTCCTGTTTTATTTCCGTTTGAATTGTGGTTAGGCTCCCAAAGCAGTGAACAAAAGCATACTTGGTGCATATTGTAGTTACAGTAGCAGCCCAGAGTCACCCCTGTCCCTCTGATTCTTCACCTGCTTGTCAAAGTGTGGCCCACTGGCCAAATCCAGCCTTTCACTTGGTTTTGTACAGCCCATAAGCTAAGCCTGTTTTTTATAGGTGACATTTGCAGTTGATTTGATGGAGCACTGATTCTGAAGACCAATGAAGCAAAATGTTACCCCTCGAAATAATTCCATTGTTCTCAGTAGCAGACCTCTATTATGAAGCATTGTAGTCAGTTATTATATTTCACATTTGTCAAAAAATTTGTTTTCTCTCTTGTTTCTTAAGTACCTATATGATATTCTTGATTTTGCCTTGTAGGCTGAAAAGCCTAAAGTATTCAGTATTTGCGCTTTACAGAAAAATTTTGCTGACCCTTGTGTAACCTAGCCTGAAGATTTGAAAGGTTAAGGATGAGCGGTGGGAGGTTTGTAAGGAAAGCACAAAGAGTTTGAGCATTGGGTGATAGCAGTATCAGAGCAGCACTGGGAGTAAGGAAGTATGAGGGAGACCTGGTACCCCACCCAGTGCCTGGTGTTTTATTGAAGGTGTTGGACCCACCCTGGTGCCCGAGTGATGGCTCCTGCTCACGCATACTTGCAAGCAGTTCTTAAGTTGAGTGTTCTTAAATTGTACATATCCTGTATTTCAAGTTTTATAGGGCTTTGTTCTTAATACTCTTTTTTTGTTATGAAGTATTTTTCTGTATAATGTTATGGAGAGGCTATATGGTTTGTTTTTTATTATGATAAAGTTTTATGTTAAGCTACACTTTTATCACTCAATTTTTCCCTTTGTTTTTTTTCCTGCTGTCTTTAAATTTAGGATATACATTGCTATAATTGTTTTTATCTTGCTTTCACAAGTTTGAGTTACAAAGATGAGTACGTAATTTCTAACATCCCAAACTAGAATCAGTCTTGCAATTGAGGTATTCCCCGGAATAAAATCAGTGCCTAACCGGTTAATATTCAAAGTCAGCAGTGTTTTGTTTATGTATGTTTGTTTATGTTCATGTAGTTGGAAAGTATTGTTTTGAAATAAATTTTTAAATAGCATGGATTTAAAAAGTTATTTTGTGCTTGAAATTGGAAAGCATTTTGAGGTATAATGTTGATTAACTTTTATATTCATTAATATTGTCTAGTAAATAATATCTTTGTTAAACATATTTTCCAGAACATGTCAGTTTATTATTCAAGTTATACTGCTTGACAGTGATGACCCTGGTGGCTGCAGCTTATACCATAGCTTTAAGATACACAAGGACATCAGACAAAGAACTCTACTTTTCAACTACAGCCGTGTGTATCACAGAAGTTATAAAGTTATTGCTAAGTGTGGGAATTTTAGCTAAGTGAGTATACTTACTTTTTAGTGTGTTAATTTTTGCCTTTAAGGTATTTTCATTATTAGAAAAAATCAAGCTACATTTTTATATGTTTGATTGCTCTAGAGCAGTGTTGCTCAACTTGGGGCGATTTTGCTCCTCAGGGGATATTTTCGGTTGTCCCAACTTGGGGGGAATTGTACTGGCTTCTGGTGGGTAAACCAAGGATGCTTCTAAACATCCTATAATGCACAGGAGGGCCCACCACAACAAAGAATTATCCGGCCTCAAATAGGAGTAGTACCAAGAAGTTGAAGAACCCTGCTCTAAAGCAGGGGATAGCAAACTGGCCCATGAGCCGAATCCAGCAGCTGCCAGTTTTTGTTGCAGCAGGGGGGACTGTGTGACTCACAAAGCCGAAACTATTTTACAGAAAAAATGTTTACCTGTTTTAGAGGATTACAGTGATGATCATAGTTAATGTCTCTTGAGTGTTTTCTCTGTTAAGTGCTAGGCACTGTGCTGTGTGCTCTTCTTTATCTCATTTAATCTTTATATTTTTAGGTAAGTACTACAATTACCCCTATTTTACCTGTACAGCATCTGAGGTCCTCAGTATTATATGGTTGATGTGTGGCAGCACTGGGCTTTGAATCAGTAACATCGTGTGAGAAACATGTTAGCCAAGGGTTCAGTGCGAAAGATTAAGAGTAGGGGCTTTGGAGTGAGCCAGACCTAATTTTCATCCTAGCCTCACTGGGATTATGACTTTACTCACATTTCTTACCTCTCTAAGCTTTAGTTTCTTTACTTGTTAATTGGAGGAAAAAAATACAGCATTGTGAGAATTAAATAAAATTCCATAGGAAATTAGGGAAAGATTTATGATATGGGAACCCATCTGGATCATGTGGGCAGGTGAGACTTCATACAGGTTTCAAGATGTGAGTTGGTGAGAGTGGGGAACCAATGAGGAATAGCATGTGTCAGTTTAGGTAGAAAAAAAATTACATTTAAATTTCACTTAGTATTTATTAAGTGATTTCTATGTGACAGCTTTATAATAGGTGCTGAATATACAGGTATGAGTGAAACAGATATGGTTCCTGCTTGCTTCAAACTTAGGTTTACTGGAGGAGACAGAAAATCAGTAAACACACATATGATTACTAATAATCATGTGGGGAAAAATACTGTAAACATGGCTTGGGAGTGGGGTGGGAGAAAAGAACAGAAAAATAACTTGAGACCAGAAGGTGGAAAGCTTTAATATATTTGAGTTTAAAATTTATCTTACAGGCAGAAATACTGTGGCAGCTTAACTTGTTGGGTTGCAGGTAATATAAAATCTTAGACCTTTCAGTTTCTTCCTTAAGATTCATTTGTATTGACATTTGGCTTTCATTAAGGGATTCTTCATTTTGGATAATGTCAGCTAAATGAGAGGCCCTATTGTACCTTTAAAAGGAAGCGTTCCAAAGGGAAAAGTCTCTGTGTTTAAAACTTCAGAACAGTTTCCCATAACAACCTAAAGTTAATAAATGAATAAAATCTTAAGGTTTAACTTCTTTTAAGACAATATAGGGTTGTTGGAAGGAGAGGGATAGGGGAACACATTTCTCTTTTATTTCTCAACTTCCATAGGGAGAAAAACATTTGACTCATGGTTGAAACAGGACTGTCACCCATGAAATGAGCTACTTTAAATTGTAATATCAAATCATAGTTCAGTTGTTTTGTGACTGTTAAGAATTTTTAAATACCGCCCGGCCAGGCATGGCTCAGCGGTTGAGTGTCGACTTAGGATCCAGGCGATCGGGGTTCGATTCCGGTCAGGGCACATGCCCGGGTTGCAGGCTCGATCAGTGACTTCCATCATTGATGTTTCTGTCTCTCTCTATCCCTCTCCTTTCCCTCTCTGAAATCAATAAAGTTATATTAAAAAAAAAAAAAATTTTTTTTAAATACCAATGTGCAGTAAACACAATGAGGCCTTTGGTATATCTTAGTAGTTGGGCTAGTCTTCTGCCAGCCCACCTACATAGATTTTTTGGTTCTATTTTGATGTTTTTTGGTGTATAGTATTTCTTATTCTTCAGTTATTCAATGTGATGGGTATGGTCAGTTATAGTTTGTTTTGTGGAAACTCTTTTTGAAGTTATATCAAAATAAAAGCACAAAAATTTTAAATTTCCAAGTCAAATAATGATATTGAAATAACTGGAAAACCAATTACTGTACTACATCAACATCATCATCAATAAATAGTTGCTGTTTCTGTCACCAACATAATGTAGAGGCCCACAAAAGAGGCTATTTTGTGAACATTTACCTGCAAAGTACACAAAGACCAGGGATAATCAGGGAAAATGAAAGAATTATGATATACAGGGTTTTGGTGGTTGGCATTTCACATTGTGTGCCTAACGAGAAGAAAAATCATTCAAAACATTTTAAACATGAGTTTCTAAGTAGAAAAAACACTGGAAAAAATATATAAAACATGAAGAAGTGAAATACATTTGAAATTACTGGATTTTAAAGTGACTGATTTTTATGGAGAAATATGTTGGCAAATTATGCACTAATTCAAAAACACTGGTAGAAACGGAATACCTGCTCTTCGTAACAAAAAATATTTTATTTCTTAGAACAAAAAGAGTCTACTTTTAAGAGGGCATTTGTGAAAATATTAATTTCTTGGAATGATAAAAGAGTGAGAGATAAAGGAGAATTATTTCAACCTATGAGGTCACAGGATGGTAGCTACAAAATGAAATGGAAGAACATTGTGATTGCTTCTTCAACTGCTTCAGCAATATGTGATGAGACAATCGATTTAATGAAATTAAAGCATAGCTGCCAGCTTGGGAAAGATACCCAGTGAAAGTGTTGAAAGTTGATTTTAGATCTTGGGAGGACAGTTGGCTTATAATAATTCACATGAAGCAGGCTGGAATAGGGGAAAGACGAGTAAAATACATGGCTAGACTATGGTTGGGCCACTAATGAACTGAACAGTTAAGAGTTGCAGCAAAGTAAAAGATTTTCCAGATACTCTCCATGCTGTCATTTCTTTGTACGCATATTAAAATGGTAATTACAAAATAAGTGGATCAAAGGCAGGAAGGATATTATAGTTTGCCAAAAAACACATGTTGGATGTCAGTGCTTTGTTTGCTGTGATGGAGAAACTTCTAAATATCAGAAAATATTTGTTACTTGAAACATTTTTTGAGTTGATTTATTATAACAAATCAACAAAACTAACCAAAATTGATTTCATATTTTTGAATTTATACTTGTCTGAAAATTCTTTACCACATAGTGTTAAACTAATTGTTTTCATAAAGCTAAAAGCATGAGATTAAACTTTTTTAATCTTTGTTTTCACAGTAGGAGTAATACTTTTATCATCTGAGAGAAAGGATAATAGTTTCAGGATATTGTGGGAGAATGAAAGAATTATATTAGAAATAAAAAAAGGTTTAGAACTTACAAAACCTCTTTAGAGAAGGAAAAAATAAGAAAAAATTTTTGATGATTAAAATAATGCATCTTCCCCATATTCCCAGGAAAATAAAGTTAATGTAAAAATTAGATAATATATTACTAAATTTTGATTTCAAATTTTTAAAGAATGACAGAAAAAGGGATATAAACTGGAACTTTTAAATGGAAAAAACTATTGAAGGAAGTAAATTATTTTTCCCTCCTTCCCACTGTACCCAGTGGTAAAATACAACTTTATAGAGTTAACACACATATTTTTTCAGAACTTTAACTTTATCTGAAGTATGCAGAGCTTAACTTCATTGTAGACCAACCTGTTAGGCTGCTTATTTAGTATGGTCTCCATAGTAATATGTTTAGTCTTGGCTAATTATTAAAGTAAGTACATGTCATTTTATACTATGGGGAGATGGGGGCAGAGACTCAGGAAATGTCTTGAAAATCATAGTGTCTTATTTATAATTAAGGTTCACTTACAGAGAAGCATATATCACTGCTACATCCAAATCATGTGTTTCACTCCCTCCAAACATTTTAAGCATATAGTAATATGTATTGTTTTTGGTTTTTGTTTTTGTTTTTTAATATATCTTTATTGATTTCAGAGAGAGGAAAGGAGAGGGAGAAAGAAAGACAGAAACATCAATGATAAGAGTCATTGATTGAGCCCGCAACCTGGACATGTGCCCTGGCCGGGAATCAAATCCCGATCTCCTAGATCCTAGGTTGATGCTCAACCGCTGAGCTACGCCTGGCTGGGCTGTATTGTTAAAAAGATGTAATGGGATAGTCAGTTTTATTCATTTATTCATTCATTCATCAGGCCTCAGTTATGTGCTCAACACTGTTCCAGATGTAAGAAGTATAGTTGAAAATTAAAAAGGCATAGTTCCATACTCATGGAACTTATAATCTAGGGGAGAACTAGATACTTAAGGAGATAATAAATTGGTGGTGTTAAGGATGAGTAGTGGATGCTGTAGCTATAATAGAGGGCCTCCATTTGGATTGGAGACTTTCTCTCTGAGGATATTTAAACCTAGATGTGAAGATTGGGTAGAAGATAGGTAAGAAAGGGGCAGAGAGAAGACAAAGAACAGTGTTTGAAGTCCCTGAGTTTTAAAGAACAGCACATTAGTGTGTTTAGAGAGTTGTGAGAAGGGTGGTGAAGGAGAGGTCAGCAGGATATCAAGAGCAGTCCTGTGGGCCTGTGAAGGATTTTGGATTTTATCTCAAGTGCACTAGGAAATCATTGAATGGTTTAAATCAGGGACTAACTAACATGGTGGCCCATTTCACTTTAAGAGCCACTTTAACCCTTTGCGAGAATTGGATCAGAAGGGTGCAGGAGTTAGGAGTTAGGAAGCTTATTAGAGGCCAGAGATGATGAAGAGAAGCTAATGGATTTATGTTCTGGAAGGAGAACGTAAAGGACATGGGTGATGGGTTTGGGTACACAGTTTATTCTTATTTGCAACTGTTAACACTCTAAAGTCACCATGGATGCTGTTGTTCCTAGGGAAATACCTGGTTAAGTTCCAGTGAACCTCCAGTAACATTTTTGCCAACTGATCAATTTAACCTTGTTTTATGTGTGTTTCTGTTTAAAGTCACCTTATTTAATATATATTATTGATTCATTAACATTGAACTCACAGCCAACAACATTAGAACTCATGCCTGAACAAAGTTTATCTAATGTGTAATTTTTTCATAAGGCATATTACAGCCTTCGTGCATGCACCACACAGCACTTTCTAGCACTACTCTTGGGGGCCACTTTTAAACAGCAAAATCACACACAAAAACACAAAAATGTAAAAAACTTGGCAGTAAATACTGTGTTTACAGTATGAGGACTGAAATAAGTTAGAGTGTTGCCTTTTTTTGACATTAGCTGGAAATGTGCGCATCAGGCAACTCAAAGCTTTTGCAACTCTGCATTTCCATCGATGACTCTGAAAGTGCTGCGAGGATTGATTTTTGGGATCACAAATACATTTTAGCAAATTGGCAGATTCTCACATACAGAATCTATGACTAATGAGAATCAACTACAGGAGATTAGGGTAAGAGAAATGTAAAGAACCACATCTACTTATATTTATATAGAAGAGTAGGTAGGTAGAGGTTTTGTGTGTGTGAGAGAGAGAGAGAGAGAGCTATCAAGAGGGGAAGAAAAGCAGCTTTGAGGGAAGGAGATATCAACAATTTAATTTGGGGTAGGTATAATATAAAGTTTTAATGTCTCAGACATCCTAGTGGGCATGGAGAAGAAAGACTTGGCACACAGAAGAGAGGCCTGGGTTGGAGAAATAAATATGGGAGTCCTTATCACATGAAAGTATTTAATCTCGAGATTTGAAAAGATTGTTAAGAGCCATCTCATAAAAGTACTCTCATTTTCAATGTCCTTTGACTTCATATACATGAAAGATTATTGTTTTCTGGACAATATAACCAGAAACTATAGAACTAACATAAAGAGGACACACAATAATAGTTGCAGTATGTTTAGACAAAGTCAGCTTGTTTAAGAAGTAATAGTCTGAGGCAGTGTGCAGTAACTCTGTAAGAGTTAATTTAAGCAGTTCCCAATTAGGCAAATTAGAATCTTCAGGTCCCAAGAATTTAAGCAGAGGCAGTTGTGGCTCCAGGGATCCTGGTGAAGTTTTGGAGATCTAGTTTCTCATCTCTGTGTGAGAACTTTGAGCCTGGAAAAGGGCTAATTAGCGTAATCTTTGGCTAGTGAGTTTGACCTAACCCAAAGTGACAGCGCTGTTCCAAACCCACGTCAGGGTTGGAGGCGGTACGGGGTTTCTATATCTAGGGAATCCTATTTGGACAGAACTCACAATGGCAACCTAGGTCAAATGGCTGAGACCTATTCTCTTTGGTTCTTTGTCTCTCTTCCACTTCCCTGGGGTAGGAGTAGCAGGATTGCATCCCTGAAGCATGAGTATCCTGACGTTCACATTATCAGACTGTAAGACCTTGTAGGCTGACTGGTATAGCTGGCTTGCCAAAACACTGCAGGATGATAGCTTAATTTTAATAGCAAATTTTTTCTTTGCCCTACTTATAATATTTTTAAAAGAACTAATTAAAAAATTACAAACAGAATTGACTTGAAAGTCTTTTCCCTGATGTGTTTAGGATTTTTAGCTTCTTAGAAGAGATAGAGACTTGCTTCAGTGAGGAGTGCCTGATCTATATTTTGGGGCAACAAAGATCACAGACTTCATTTATATTTCTTCAGAGAAAAGTAAAATCACCTCTTTCAGGTATGGTGAAAGAACAGAAGGCAGAGAAATGCATACCTTGGTGAGATCTCCAAGAAAACTGGGCGATAATTATGAGGAAAATGCTTAAAATATATCATTGCTATAAGTAATAATGTTATAAGTTAAAATTGCCTTAGAAAAACCAGAGAATATTATTTTTTGGGGGGCTATTATGAAAAACAAGGTATTGAAAACCTAATGAGCAGATATCTAACTTCTTTTTTTTTAGAAAGCAAGTAACTACACTCTAGGATACCCACTGTTAATCACTGTCAAAACGTGTTATGTAAAATGCCAAACATCTTTTAAGATCGCAGCAACTAAATTTGCTGCCTTCAGACATTCAGGACTGTTGCTATTGAGAATGGCAGGCTGCCAGAGTGATGGTGTTAAGGAAATGTTCTTCCCCGTCTCCCCTTAAAAACAGGTGAGGGAAACATACAGGTAAATACAGCTAATTTTCATTTCTTTGTCGTACCTCTATTTTAGGCTGAGGGAAGTTGTAATTTGCCAAAGATACCTAGAAAGTGAATGCAATGATAGGAATAGGAGACAAGTTCTCTGATCTCTAATGAAATGATTAAGCAGGTTTTTGATTAACTAGGGCAAAGATTAAACACTTAGTAGAACTGTTAGATATCTCAATAATTTTCAGTAATTTTGTTTTTTCTCCTATTTTAAGTTTTTATTCCCAGATGTTAACATTTTACCATGTATGTTTTATATTCTCTGTATGCATTTGTAAGTGTGTGTATAATTTTTTCTGAACTGTTTTACACAACATGCCCATTTGTCCCTAAATTCTTTAGGGCATATTTCCTAAAAACAGGACATTCTTACATAATCACAAAATGTCAAAATCAAGACTTCAGTATTGATACAATACTATTTAATTCACAAACCTTAGATAATTTTGCCAGTTGCCCACTAATGTCCTTTAATAGTAAAATAATCACACTTTACCTCTAGCTGTCATATCTGTAGCTTCCTTTAATCTAGAACAGTTCCTCCATCCTTTTTTCATGTCAAGATGATCAAGACTTCTCTTGTACTTTCCCTGCCCCAACTCTGAAATCATACATTTCTCCAGAAGCCTTGAAGCTTTGTTCATTTCCCCCCTCAAAATGGTATTTAGAAACCAGAATCTAGATACTAGGTGTGCTCATTGCTACTGGGGTATCACTGCTGCTTTCAGCAGACAGAGCTAGGAAATATATGTGCACACATACCCACCTATCTCTGTGTGTATGTCTGTGTGTGTGTGTGTATCTGTGTGTATAACTATAGTTACATATTGTTTGGTACCTGTAATTCTGATGCAACACTGCAGAATTGATTTTTAACCTTCCCCTTTTTCATATTCGTTCCCTTCTTCAATGGTGATGAGTCTAGCTCCCATTATCCTCAAGATACTTATTTGCTCAACCCTATAATACATAAGTAGATTTAGAATTTCTAACATGCAGCTGTGAAAAACCTAGTAACAAGTTCAGCATTTGTATATAGTTCTTTTTGCCTTTAGTTTTAGAGCATATAGTAAAAAGACTGGAATACTTGAGTTATTCATTTTTTGCTTCAATGAATTTTGTAATTAAAAAAACTGATGTTTTTTTTTTAATTTCTTTTAGTAATTAATTTTGGGTTTCCCCATGCTTGTTGATTTTACTTATAATTTCCAGTAATTTTTGGAGTGGATAATTATACTTATTTCAATGAGAAGTTCAGTTAGAACTGCAAGAAAATAAGGGAGTGTGGGGAAGAATGAATGGATGGCTACTTTGATAAATAAGGTTTAAGGTATATGTGGTCTAACTGGTGAGTTTTAGTTATATGCACTGTGTGTATATATACGCAGTATACATTATGCTCCAGTTTATTTTTTCACTTAGAGATTGTTCCATGTCAGTACATAGAAATCTGTCTCATTCTTTTTGAGAGCCGCATGATGTTCCATTATATGGATGTATCATATATATGAGTCTCTGTTGATGGGTATTGGGGTCATTTTGTCTTCTGTGACTACAAAATGAAATCATTATTTTCTTACATACACTATTGTGCACATGTAGGATTACATCAGATCACTTTTAAATTGAGATGGGAACCATTAAATCCTGTTATGGTGAGGGGGCAGATTAGTAGTTTGCTGTAAAAGCTCTTATGTGATTAGTTAATTTTTAAAAATCTTTGAATTATAAGTTACCAATTTCTAAGTTGTAATCTCATTGAAACAGTACATAAAACAGTACAACATTTGAAATAAAACTACTACAATTCACAGGAAAATTACTGGTTATTTGTATGTTTTACTAACCCCTGTCATAGCTATTAAAACTGACAGTTTTGCTTGAGTCATTTGTGGTATGAGAGAAGGAAATGAAAACACTTTCACATTGTCTTAGAACAAAGTCAGCTTTTTATTGTTTGCTATTCACCAGTTTATAAAGACTAAACCTTGCAGGATGTATAAATGTATATATACTTTGGGTGTGTTTAGTAATAAACCAAGTGTATCTTTGAGTCACTATCCATATAAGGCTGGAGAAAATTTTTACTATTTCAAGTATTACCTAGAATAATTAATGCAGCTATCAAATACTTATGTTGTAGGTTATCCAGCCCTATTTGATTTCTCCTGCTGAGTTTACATTTTGACTGACTCTTTGTACCCATGCTATAGTGGGTGTAGGGACAGGAGGAGAAAGTAAAAGTCATGTGCCTCATATAAGTATTTTTGTCCTCAAATGACCTCATCATTGGTTTTTATCCCTAGCCCCCAAAGTCTTTTATGTGAGTTAATTATACTTAACTTTGCAGATGATACAAATTTGTTAACAAGATTTAAACTTCTTAAGCTCATGAGTAACTTCTGCTGTGTTCCATTTTGCACAGTGCCTTGGTAACCTAGCCAAGGATTTTATGCCTCCTAGTAGTTCTCGTCAGATCAGGAGCTGGAAGAATGAGGCCTACTTTTGACCAAACATAGGTCAGAAAGGATTGGTTTCAGCCGTTTGATAGGAAATTTAGGGGGGGAGGCGGCCTCAGAATCTCTGCAATCAACATGGAGCTTCAGAATTTCTTCAGGTAACCAAAGGCTGCACATAGATTCTGTTTTAGTGATAAAAATCATACAAATTGTTCAAGTAGGAAATTTAATGGGAAATACTACATCTATGAAAATTAGTATATGCTTTTTGATTATACATGCTCTTTCTCTTACCTAGCAATGTCATTTATAGAATTAAATTTAATAAATTTGTTTTTAACAAAAGGTACTCATTAAAGTACTTGGGATTTGCTTTCTAAGAAAATATCAGCACGAAAATAGAAGGAAAAAAATGGCCTTTGGTTTTTGTTACTTTTTATAGTATACTCAGGCTGTAGTATATTTAGAATTGATCATTTCTTTTTTTTCTACTTAATAGTAAAAGGATTGATGATCACTAGTGTTTTCTGGAAGATGTATTGCTGTTACTTTTTTTTTTTTTTTTTAACTATAGTGAGTAAAGCTAAATATAAACTTTCAGAGCTGTATTAATACATATGTTAAATTAAGCAGGATTTAACCTGATTAATACTGAAATCATTTATCTTTAAAACTTTCTGTGTACTAATTCCCACATATTCTTTTTTATCCTCCTAAATTTCCTTAATCTACTTTCTGATCTTTTTTCTCTTATTCCTGACCTTGTGTTTTTCTGTTATTCCTGAGCTTGTGTTTTCTTTTACAAGTTCTTTTAGCATCCTCTGATATTTTTTGTAACTTATTTCAAAATACCTTATTTATAATTATATAATATTGATGTAATTCTAAGGTACTACAGTGAAACTTGAGTTTTCCAGTAGTTAGCATTCTGGTATAGCTTGGCTTCTTTAACATCCACATTAGCAAAGGAACCAGAAAAAGATACTGCAGCTTTCCCAGCAGTGAAGAAGTAGTAGCTCCTAAGCACTGAACAGAAAAGGGTACAGTCAGAAGAGCCAAAGACCTGAATGTTAATCCAACACACTGTTCTCTACTGGTTTGTCAGACATAGGGAAAGGAGTACTCAGATTGGCTGGTGATGTCTCATAGGCCCTTCTTTTTATGTGAAAGCTGGAAAGTGTGGAAGAGATAAGGAGAAAAGTGACAGGGAGAAAAGGGACTACAGCAGCCTTTATTATTGGTGCAGATATGGTTATTAGAAAAAGCAGTGAGATCCTTAAGTAGCCATATTCCTATAGGACAAAGGGTACCAGTGATTAAAAAAGAAAATCAACTATATTCTCTCATTAGCCAAAAATTAATTTGATACTGTTGAAGGCTGAGTATCTCTAATGGGTGAATTCAAATAGCATTGCCCATAGCAGTAGATTAGGGAAAGGACAAATAGCTGGTATACTAGAGTTTGGGGAATCTTATGTGGGAGATCAGTGGACATGGAAGGAGGTAGAATGCGGAAATGGGTACAAATGAATACCTCTCAAGCTCCCTGGGGCATTAAAAGTAAAGTACAGTGAAAGCAGTGTCCTGTACTTCACAAAATCTTTAAGATTTTAATCTTTGCTCTCATATAGTTGCTTACTAGTGAGAATTATGACATTAAGGAAAATGGTCAGTTATGTTTTCTAATACATCACCTTGCTAAGATAGTTGGATCTCTCTGATTATTTTAATCTCTTTTTTCTCTTTAATTTTTTTCTTCAATTTTATACTTGAGGGAAAACGTTCTTTGAAAAATTCTTTATACTCTTTAAGACATTGAGAAAGCAAATAGGACACCTTAGATTTGCATTAAAAGTAATTAGAAAAAGAATGTCAAATGTTTAAAGGGCCCATCTTCAGATACCTGGAAACCCCTACTACGTAAAATTTCTCAGTAGAGTGATCTTTCTGGTATTCTTTGCCTCTTCTGGATAGAGTTTGTAGTCTCCCACCAAGCTGTTTGTGTTACTTTTCAGCATATAGACTTACCATTGGAGCTGGCTGAATTTGGCAACAGAGCAAGATCTGTAACTGAGAAGGATATTTTTTGTTTCCATGGCCCAGGCCAAACTTCCTGTCTTTCTAAAACATTTTCTTGGGGGCTGGAGTGTTGTAGACTGGATAGGTATAGGTAGTCAGTTTAACATTATGGACCACCGTTAGAACATTGGTGATTATTTTTGTAGGAAAAAATTCAATTAATGACCATCGATTCTAATATGTTAACTGAAAATGTAGAGGCTCATTGTGACTATCCTAAACTTTCAGTTGAAACAGGTCAACAAAGTATTATGGTCTTCTTAAGGATATTGTGAATTGCAGTTAGGATCCTTTTGATAAAGTACTTTTTTTTGGTGTTGATGCTTATGATTTACAGTGGGGGAAATAAGCCAGATTATCTAGTTCCTCCTGAGGAAAAATAAGAATAGTTAAGGGCATGCATAATCAATATGCAGTCAAGTAGTAAACTTTTAATATACATTATAGTTTTTTTTGTTGGTATTAATAAATTTCTCACAAAATTATAGGTATGTACTTGAGTTTTATGAGAATATGCTTAGATTTATTGTCTAATACACTTTATAAGCACCGAGCAAATTTGCAAATGATATTGACCTGAATCCATCAATTCCTATCCCAAGTAACTTCCATAGCTACCAAAGCCTTTTTCTTTTGTTTACTATTAAATTTTTTTATACATTTTTAAAAAAACCTTTAAAAATGGATATGCAGCCTGAGTAAAAAATAATCAGGGTGAACTTGATGTAATGACAGTTAAAGTGTCAGGGGTTAAGTTTTTATAGGTAATAATCAGTATTTCTGGTTCCCTGTTGTTTCATTATTTAATATACTCAAAAACTCCTGGAACTTTGACCACAGGTTGACGATGGTAAATCTGATTGTTTTCATATTTTCCCAAGTAGGACTTATAGTTGTTTTTCTTTTATGCATTTGTTGGTGTATTCCTTTTAATCTAAAATTAGTTGAAAATTATAAAACAAAGTAAGTTTGCTAAATTACATCAATGGACTTGATATAGCTACACTATGACTGAAGAATTCTTATCAAAAGGATGTTCTTTAATTTTCCTCAATTCCTTCTCATTTCTCCCTTTTGTTTTCAAAGAGAAACTGGTAGTCTGGGCAGATTCAAGACATCTTTAAGAGACAATGTCTTGGGGAGCCCCAAAGAACTGCTGAAGTTAAGTGTGCCATCGTTAGTGTATGCTATTCAGAACAATATGGCTTTCCTAGCTCTTAGCAACCTGGATGCAGCAGTGTACCAGGTAAGTGAAATAAATGATAATGAAGAGCAGAATCTTAAAAAATGTTTTTATGGTGAAATTATTTTTACTAACCCTTTATCACATTATCAAATGTGTTTCCCCATAATTCTGTTAATGATATCAGAAATAGTTGTGTCAGAGACTAATGTTAACTAAGTTCATTAATTCTTTTGCTTCTAGGTGACCTACCAATTGAAGATTCCCTGTACTGCTTTATGTACCGTTTTAATGTTAAACCGGACACTCAGCAAATTACAGTGGATTTCAGTTTTTATGCTGTGTGGTGGAGTCACACTTGTACAGTGGAAACCAGCCCAAGCTACTAAAGTCATGGTAAGAAACAAAATGTTTACCATAACTGAAATAGGAAACTGCGTATGTCTTACACATTTCGGTCACATTGCTTAATGTAGCACGATTATATTTCTTTGATTGAAAAGAATCTTTGCCCTATAGATAGGCTTTTTTAATCCCCTTAGGATATATTATTATTAAGGATAATGTAACTTAAATTGGCTTCCTTTCTTTTTAGAGGGGAATATGCATAAAGTGTTAGCGATGGAAGGTACCATAAACTTAATGTTATCTACCCCCTTCATTTTATGGATGAAGAAATTGAAGTCTAAAGAGGTGAAGTAACTTGTCCAAAGTTTCAGTTAATGGCTAACTTGTGACTAAAATTGTTGACAACTATACAACATGCATATGTTCAGAACTTCTAGGCTTCTTTTAGACATTTTCTTAGAAACTTTGGGCAAGGTTTATCCATCTAATTTTCATCTCTCTGCATCCCCCACTTCACCAAGTATTTTATCCTTTTGTTTTTTAATCCTCACCCAAGGATATGTTTATTGATTTTAGAGAGGGAGGAAGGGACAGAGAGTAACATCGATCGGTTGCCTCCCGTATGCTCTGGACTGGGGATTGAACCCACAGGCTTTTTGGTGTATGGGACGATGTTCCAACCAACTGAGCCATCTAGCCGGCGCAGGTTTTAATCCTTTTGCACATACTCCCATTGTCAGTGATAGGGATTACAGGGGAGTAGTGTTTTTACAGATAATTGATAACTAAAATAGGACAAAAAGTGTACTTATATAACTATTAGTTTGCTAAGAGTTAAATGTTAAGGTACATGCCTGAATTTTAAAATGTTACCTGCTTTAATCAGTTATTTCCCTAGAGAGGAGAAGGAAGTGGAACGCCAGTGAATGACTTTCTGAAATTCATTAGTTTCCTTCTACAATTGAAGACACTCTTCAAGTTTTAGTAAATGAAAGCTCTCTTAGGACTATAGGGCAGCTGGGGATGTAAGGAGAGCTTGTTAAAACAGGAAGTCATTTCCTTTTTACGTAGTTCCTTTCTAGCTTGGTGGAGATTTTCCCCCCCAGAAAATGAATTTTAGATGAATATTTATTGTGTCAACATGTTTAAACATGCTCATATTCTTGGTGACATTTCATAACACTGATCAACTATGCACTGCACATTTAACAGGCTGTAGACCTGCAGAGAAATAATTTGTTGGAAAGTAAGGCCAATATGTAATTAAAAGTTAAATGTGAACTTTAACATCTCACACCATTAGAAAAGATGTTAGGTCCACCTCACATAGGTAATGTACGTGAAAAGTTTAGTAAACTAAAGCAGAGTCTAGGGCAATTTATCCTACTTTTGGATCCCTCTAGAGCAGCAATTTTCAACTGCTGTGTAGCAAGAATTTTTAAAACATGCAACACCTGACTCTTTAGTCAGGGGCACTGACCTCTTTTCCCTTAGACTGTCAAATAAAAAAAAAGACAGCCAGCACAACAGTAGCAGTCAGTATGAATGAATCAAAATATTTTTTTGTCAGATGTGCAAAATATATTTTTTGATGTGCCACATAATTTTAGTAATTAACTTATGTGTGCATGAGATGAAAAAGGTTGAAAATGACTGTTCTAAAAAGTTCTTTTATACCTTAAACAGAGTACAACTTCCTGTAACTGCCTCTCATTGTTCTTTGTTCTTGTCAGAATAACTCACATTCCTACTAACTCCCGTATATGCTCTGAATGTTTGAGGAGAGTGTCTCATACTTACTTTCCAGGTCTTTTCATCCTAATTGAGACAACCTTGTGGTTTTCTATAACATAGTTTCTAGACTTTCCTATCCTGGCCTCTTGCCCTAGTACTTCCCTGTATTTCTCTTCTAGATGCATTCATCTGTTGTTCTCAGTACATCCTAAAACTTCACACTATCTTAGATGTTGACTGAGCAGTGTGAAGTATTACTTGGTAATTACCTGCTATGTTGTAAGTACTAAAGACTTGTTAAATCAGCATAAGATTATACAGTATTTGTATTTTTTGTGGTGGATATCCGCTCTATAATTGATTATACACAACCATATGTAGCTGTTTCACAAATACAGTTTATCTCAAATGTGTCTTGTGCAATGGGCTTCTTCCAAACCAAAATGCAGGATGTTTGTGTTTATTTAACTTCTCTGAGCTTTGGGTCATTGTTCAGGCCTCTGAGGTCTTTCCAGTCCTTATCCATTATTAGCTTTTTCTTTGAGTATTATGCTTTCTACAGATTTGACAAATCACCTTCTGGGTCATCACTTAAACTTTTAGACAGGACCAGAATTCTGTGGCTATACCATTAGACCTCCCTTTAGCTTGACTTTTTCTTGTTTAAGAAATATTTATTCTCTCTGTTTTATGGGTCAGGAATTTGGTGCCTTAGCTAGGTAGTTCTGGCTTATCTCTCTCTTTTTTAAATCCTCACTCTAGGATATGTTTATTGATTTTAGAGAGAGAGAAAGATAGATGTGAGAGAGAAACATCAATCTGTTGCCCCCGTTAGCACCCCGGCTAGGGGTGGAAACCACCACCTTTTTGGTGTACGGGATGATGCTCCAACCGAATCGCCTGGGCTGGCTGGCTTGGGACCTCTTAAAGGCAGCTGTCAAGATATTGGGTAGGGCTGCAGTTAACTGAATGCTTGACTAGGCTTAGAGGATGTTTCTAGGGTGGCTCATTCATATGGTACTGGCTTTTGGTCTAGCTTGATTTTGCTATATGAACATTCACTCAACTATGAATAGAATTTTACTGTTATCTTCACTAAATTTCTGTCTTAGAAAAATATTATGCAAATCTATCATATTTCTTGCTAAACATTATCTTTATGGAATTCCTCTCATCATTTGTACTAGGAATCCTTTCAGTAAGGAAATTTGGTATGTCTCACCCTTAGGGAAGCCATACTGTTTTCCAGTGATGACCATTAAACTTTTTAAGTTCTTTAAGTCATTGTTGTAGCATTTTGCTAGTAATCAATATTAATAGTAACAGCTGCAGTCAGTTATATTGCACCAATTACCAGTAATGTTCTGAGTGCTTTACATATATTAACTCACTTATGCCTACAACCATATGAAGCTGGTATTTTTATTTCCATTTTAAATGAGGAAACTGATAGGAAAAGGTGGTTAATCATGTGTCCAGTCACATTGCTCAAATCCAGGCAGCGTGGCTCCAGAGCCTCTGCTCTTGGTAACTGTACTGGCTGCTTATAGGTCTCAAGCAGCCATCTATAATTTCTGTAGCTTTTCTTTCCCTCTGCCTTTGGAAAAATAGGACAGTATTTGCCCAAGTAAAATTTTCTGTCATGGCTTCCATTCTCCATTATTTCTTAAAGTCATAGTTATCAGTATCTTGATTTGCTACTGTGTTGGACAAGACTCTTTAGAACTTTTTTAGCTAGGTATTCTCATAACAGCAAACCAAATGTCTTGGACTTCAGTTTCCTTTTAAATATGTTTATTACTTGTTATTTACAGAGAAAATGGAAAATAGATTTGTGTAGCTGTTTTCTTGCTATCTAACAGATTATCTAGCTCAAGAAACACACTTTCTTCCTGAACTAAACATTTTTAAAAGCTTTCTTTAATGTTTTAAAGTATTTTTGCAAGTCTCTGCTTATTCTGAGTTTTCAGTTTCTTGATACTCCTGGTTAGATTCCTCTTGGTTATGTGTACTGCAGTTCTTTTGTATGTTCCTGTAAAATCAGAATTCGTTGAAGATGCTTTTAATTAGTAACATTGATTTCTTTATGTATTCTTTTACACTTCATCAGAATCTCATTCTTTGGAACCTCTTAAACCATTTCCCTCTTAGTTATGGAATGCTAACTTGAAATTTTACTGAATTTTGATTTAAGATTGGAGAGTATGTCTCTTAATTGTGCTGTTTGGCTATCACTCATGCTAAAATGACATGATGGCTGTTCTTCGAAGTTTCTATCACTTCCACTTCATCACCCAGAAGTTTCTTATTAGTCAGAATTAAATCCAGAGGAGCTGTGTCTATCACTGTTTTTCCTAACTGTAGAGAGATTGAACTGGCAGAAAAGCCAAGAATTTATCACATACTGTTTTTAGTAGCTTGACCTTCCTAGCAGTTTTTGGAATAGGTGAAATCTCACACCATTTTTTCTCATATCTATGCCAATCTTGTAGTTTGTATTAGGAAAGCATTCATGTTTATCAATTGTCGTCTATAACAGTGGTTCTCAAACTTTAGTGTACATCAGAGTCAAATGGAAGGTTAAACAGATTGTGGGCCTCATCCCCATAGTTTGATTCAGTAGGTCTGGGCTGGGGCCTGTCAGTGTTCATTTCTAACAAGTTCCCAGGTGATGATGCTGCTCTTGGTCCAGGGACCATACTTTGAGATCCAGTAGTCCATAGTATCTTCTATTTCTCCTTTTGTCTTCATGCAAACATTTTAGACCAAGCTTTCTTTTTCAGGTACTTAACATGAAGTAATACTCTCTGTATATCAGGCTTACTTATTTTGAACAAGGTGTATGCTTGTCATACATACATATTATAGTCATGCATCTCAACTCTTTAGTTTCATTGTCAGTACAGAGAGTGTATTTATCTCTGAGGAAAGACTGGTAAAAGCTCCTGAGGATTACTTTAGGGAAGAAAAGGGAAATAAAGTTGAAACAGTAGGTTGGAGCCCATATACATGCATCTGTTAGCACAGTGTTATGATTACATATACCTGAATCACTCCTTTCCATGAACTGTTTAGGGACCACAGCTGTGCATCGCCTTTGCCTTTATTCATTTAGCATACAACATAGTATATCTGGTACATAGCAAGTAAGCTATTAATATTTGATAAAATTCAATAAAGCAGGAAACCTCAAAACAAATTAAAACTATTACTATTTCTGTGATTGATGCTATAAGCTTTGAGTTGGGGTAGTGGCAGAAGCTACAATTAAGAGGCAGGCTGATTATGCAAAATTCTATGCTAGGGTGCCCATCATTACTAGGAAATAAGCACACCTTATTTTAAATATTTACTATGGTTGTGATTTGAGGGTCACATTTTTAACTTAAGTGCTTTGGTTAATCTCTGGATGGCCTTTTGTTTGGTCCTGTGTTATTCTACAGAATAGCTGTGTTTGATATGGTAACTACTTTCAGTATAACTGTAACACAAAAATATTTGTGTTTATTTATTTGTTCTCTTGGATGAATTCCATTTATTAGTTGCTAAAAATAACTTAAAACATTATTATTGCAGGTGGAACAGAATCCATTGTTAGGGTTTGGAGCTATAGCTATTGCTGTATTGTGCTCAGGATTTGCAGGTAAATCATAAAAGCAACATTTTATTCTATTGTCCAATTTAAAAAATATCAGACTTTAAATAAGGGTCTAGTTTATCTTGTTTTATTATAACTAACAATAACTAACAATTTTATTTCCCTTAAAGCTTACCTATAGTTTAGTTTTATGTCAGCTATTTTTCCAGTAAATGCATGGTAGTGTTTGACTCAGTTCAGTCCTCAGTCCTTATTCATACTTACAGTTATCTAAGAATGTATTTGTTGTCCTTAGTCCAGCCAAGAACCCAAAAGTAAATGAAAAGACTTTTGAAAATGGAAGGTTAGCCATCAGAAAACTCCAGTACTACTTTTCATTTTCCTGGAACTGTCACTATCCTCAGGCTAGATTCTGCTGCTTTACGGTACACTAGCTCAGTATTTGTTTTTCCCTAGTTACTTCAAGTTCTTCCTCTACTTCAACAAGGAGAAAAAAGGGGTGGGGTTGAGAGAGTATCTCAGAAAACTTAATACATAAAAGTAACAGCCCCAAACGGACAGGAACCAAAATCACTAACATCAAATAAACAAGGAAGTCTGGACTCATGTAGGGACAAGCAATTCTCCACTCAGTCAAGAGACAGTATATGAATGTGTAACGTAAGGAATGAAATGTGTTTTATAGTTTTAACAGAGAAGAAACTGAAAGTTCTTTTTAGTAAAGAGCATATTAATTATAGATATATGTCTTTATTATTTATCTTTATTTGTGTTATTTCAAGAGTTAGGACTCTGCTTTTATTTTTGACTAGGGAAGCAGGCTGGATGTGGAAGTGAAATATTGTTTGTAAAAAAGGTTTGATAAGGGGAAAATCTAAATGTTGGAATATACTTTATAGCATCATGCTAAACTTTTATTCTTAGTAACTAGCAAATTAGAAACAAAATCGAGTCACCCAAAAGCATTATTTTGAACAATTAAATGTTTGTGTCCAACATTCTAGTTAGTTCAACTTCTCAATACAAGTTGGGGAAATGGTGTATAGTTTAATACCCCTCTATGCTGGAACAACTGAGCACCCAGTAGTTAAGTGGATTCCCAGATAAGAAATTCAAAGGTGGAAATTGGAATAGCCATTATATGTTTGTTCCTAGTCTCTGGCTCTTCCCAATATATATGTTTGTCAAAAACAATCTTGTTTTTCATTAGAATTTTTAGTGGATTAGTAGGTGGCAATTCCTAAATCTTTAATTAACATGGTATTTATAATTAAAATCTTTAATGTCTTTGTTAAACATGTGTTCATTTTAAGTATAAAACTTACAGCAGTGGCATGTGATTTGGGGAGGTGGTGTCATGTGCTTTTTTGGTAGTATGTGAAAAAAGCTTTTGGACTCCCAACCACAGAAAAATGCACATACACGGAGAATGTATTATCTACTTAAGGAGTTCTTGATCCTTCTGACACTGTGTGTGAACTTGGCTTTGGGAGCCTTGCTTTAAGGAAAATGGCCCCACCCAGCAAGTTCTATTTAAATTTTATTTTGGTTGTGTTGTTTACTCAGAAAAAAATCGCAAGTGGCGATTATATAGGTTACTTTGCAAAGTTGGGACTATTCATTACTAGGCAGATATTATAGGGGTGTGACTAAGATAATTTAATAGTATAGTTTTCCAGTTGACCAAAGAAAGTCTTTTATTGATATTAACAGTTTTTGTGATCTTATTGCTGTAATTATGGCAGAAACTATTCTTAACAGTATGTGAGTTAGAAAGTTCCATCTTAATTATTAATTTGCTGTAAAAAAAAATTGGTAATGTTCAGTATGCCATGTGTCACACAAACATAATAAATGTGCATTTAATGTAAAATGTTTGTCTCCCAAATCACATACTTTGTATTATCATGTCTCCAAGTTATTGTTCTAAGTGAAAGACATTTTAAGTTAATTTCTAATATCTTTATTTCATATTTGATATCTAATTTTCTTTCAGGAGTGTACTTTGAAAAAGTTTTAAAGAGTTCAGACACTTCCCTTTGGGTGAGAAACATTCAAATGTATCTATCAGGGATTGTTGTGACATTAGTTGGCGTCTACTTGTCAGATGGAGCTGAAATTAAAGAAAAAGGATTTTTCTATGGTTACACATATTATGTCTGGTTTGTCATCTGTAAGTATCCAGGAATTAAAGGTTCTGGGTAGACCCATTTTTTAAAAGTTAGATGTCCATTTGAAGGCTTTATAGCATTTTGGAATTGTTCCTTTATACTGTGAACACCAGTTTGAAAATGTAACTTTGGTTTTATTGACTGACTTTTGTGGCATAGCTGTCCCAAAGCAATTTTGCCTTCACAATCAGAAGTATCTAATGTGTTAGCAATAAATGTGTACACTTTAGTAGTCGATCACATAGCCCTTTGGGCATCAGTAGTTTTGTAGGAACTACTACTGAATTTTAGTATAAACTCTCTCAGATGGCTGCTTCTAAGGAAAATAGTATTTTCCCAGGTAAATTAGCATGGCATCTCTGGGGAAGAAAATTGCCTCACCATCATAGAATGTTTCATTTATTTGAGTGTTAAGATTTTCTTTCTTTTTGTATACAAGTTCTTGCAAGTGTTGGAGGCCTCTACACTTCTGTTGTGGTCAAGTACACAGACAATATCATGAAAGGCTTTTCTGCAGCAGCAGCCATTGTCCTTTCCACCATTGCTTCAGTGCTGCTGTTTGGATTACAGATAAGTATGTCTTAGTTTGTATTTTTAAGTTTTTAACATGGAAATGCCTCTCACTTCCTTGATTTGTCTTTTAAATGTGGCATTGGTCATGGTGTTTTATAGAAATTCCTAGTTTTGTTATAGTTTATTCTACAAGTGCAGCGGTTCATAGATGTGTGGAATGTGCGTCAGCAATACTTAGGTTTTTAAAAAAATAGTCCTAGCGCTTACACTGAGGGGTGCTGGTTCTTTGTGAAAGTGAGGGGGCTACTTAGTTACTAGAAATAAAGAGCTTTTTTTGCAGTCAAAGCCTCCCAGTTCCCCAGGTATTAGATATAAGACAACTTAAGTGCTTCAGGGTGAATATACTATGATGAGGTACATGGGGAAATAAATATAAGAACTTTAGGAAATGATGGAATTAGAATAAACAAAGCTTTTTGAGGAAAGAACAGACAAATTCTTTCATTCCCCCCTTAGTTTGTACCTTCCTAACTGTTTTGGACTTGGATGCAAACTGGTTTTCAAATCTAAATTTTCTTTTCTTTTTTGAGGAATTGATACAGAATTTATTATTATAGCTGGCATTCTGGCACCACCACTATTCTAGTCCTTCTAATATAATTGTTGCTAGCCCACATCCAGCATTAAGTTGGCTTCTTATTTAAGCAGTGGTGTTGACTTAACACTTAAGGGTGGTTTTATGCTGTAATAATAATTTTATTTACTAATACATGAGGAAAATCTGTCAAATATTGACACTGAAAAGAAACAGACCTGGCCCATATTTTATATTTCATTTAAAAATTGACTCCTGTTATGAGGAACAGCAATCTTGTAGAAATCTTAGAAAACCATTTTATAGCATGGTTCAAATTTTGCCTGTGCCATTTATTAGCTGTGTCACCTTGGGGAAGTTACTAACCTGTGTCTCAGTTTCTTCATCTATAAAATGGGAATGGTAGTAGCACCTATGACCTAGGGTTGTTTCAGGTAAAGTGGTTAGAATAGTGCCTGTCACATAGTAAGTATTCTGTATAAGGCCAACCACTTACCATTTAAGTATCAAGTCCCTCCTTTAGATATTTTTCTTACCTGATTTGGGTGAAATTTTAATTGAAGTTCTGACCCATCCTTATGCCCAATAAATCCTTATGACTTTGCTCCTAAGGAATATTTGGGAAAAGTATAAAATGCTTTTGGTCAGTGTTCTGTCTTAATGATGGTCAAGGAAATTAATTAGACTGTCTTAACAATCTTCCAGTTTCTTATTTAGTTTTAATTTACCCCTTCCCCTTTTTTTGAAGGTAAAGCTAGTCTTTTCTGGTTAGGATTGAACTAAAATCATAGCTTGATGGCATTTCTTTACATGCCATTGTTTTAAAGCTGCTAAGACTCCCATTGTACTCCATGTAGAATATGGTTCAGTTTTGAATGGAGTATACAGTTTTGACATAAGCATTTATTTATAAAGTGACTACTGGTCAAGTTTGCACAAGCTGTAATTCAGTGGTGTCCTGTTTTCAGGATTAAGGTGATAAAAAATAAGGGTAGCAGAAAATGGAATTTTACTTAGTAAATCACCACCTCTTCTATTTAGGAATCTTCAGTGGTTTCATTCATTGATCACCTAACTTTTTTGCTCTAAATTTTCATAGGTTTCTAGTACAGAAAAGCTACACCCCACTGTTCTCTTTTAATCAGCATATAGGGAAGTTAGTATGGTCTTTATCAGTGATTCAGGACATGCATACTCGTGTTCTTGAAAAGTGTATAGTCAGTGATTGTCACTCCCTCGATCTTTCTAAACCTTAACATCATAAAAATATTTATTTATGTTCCATATTTACATTTCATTTTAAAATTGACTTGTCATAAATGCAAATAGAGGAATGGAGTAAACCCGTAATTGGAAATTTTGAAAATTTTAAATTAATCACCATTATATTAGTTTTACAGACACAAATACAGATTAAGCTTATCTTGTTTTTCTTTTCAGCACTCACCTTTGCTCTGGGTGCTCTTCTTGTATGTGTTTCTATATATTTCTATGGATTACCCAGACAAGACACTACATCCATCCAACAAGGAGAAACGGCTTCAAAAGAGAGAGTCAGTGGTGTGTGATTTCAGCCTCAATCGCGATTCCACTAAGATTAAACCATTTGCATTAAACTAGAGCCTTAAATCAATCCCAGAAGATAGCTTAAACAAACAAGAATAACAAATTAACTGTGTGGCATTTAAAGAATTAAGAAGAAAGCTATCTTGAATGGATTGCTACAAAGATTTAATGTGACCTGGTTGGGGTCAACCCATTTTTGTTTTAGAATGAAGGGATTTTTTTTATTGTATATAGAATGTATATAAAAGTATGGAGATGATATGTTGGTAAAAAATCACATGAGGCTATAATATTCAAGTATCAAGGTTTGGGACAATGTTAAAGTGCCAAAGCCATTTCTGTACTAACTGCTCTCTTGTTCAGGTACCAGGGGAGAAGGACGACCCCTCCTTGTTCCCCAATTCATGTACGTATTTTGTCCCAACAGCAGTAAAGACCTAGATCTTTTCTTATGCGAGACAAAAACAAGACAGGCTAGTCAGAAATAAATTGAATGTGCATCTTATTCAAACTGAATATTTCATAACCCAGACAATGATTCCTGGGTGGTGGGTGGTGACTGAGTACTCCTTTTAAGTGCTGTGTTTGTGCCATTCATTGTCTGGATTCATGTTTCTTTGCTGTTAGATGATGTACTTTTCTTCAAAAAATATTTCTAATGTCACTTTTGTACTTTTTTTATAAAGTATGTTTAGCTGTGGGGCTCTCAATAATTTATGAAATTCTGTGTTTTTAAAAAATTTCTATGTTAATAGGGAAATTCAGCAATAAACTTCATATGAAATTTGTTTGATCACTTTTTGTATTATAGATATGACCGTTAAGATAATGCAAAAACAAACTTTTAATTCCAAACATTACATTTAAAATTTTCTGTGTTGAAACTGTATTATTATAGCTTATAAACTAACTCTGACTAAAGGTATACCATGTACTTGCTAATATAAAACTATATTCGTTCAACTAGAGAAGCTTGGTTCATGCCAGTTTCCTTCTCTATTCATAAAAGTAGACTGCCACTGGTATTTACAATACTAGTAGCAACGTTTAAAATAAATTATAGCAGACCTGAATGGAAAAGCTGGCAGGTAAGGATAGCTGTACTGACCAAATGCACCACGTCCTACTATGTTAACCTAAACAAGTCACACAAAACATGTTTCACCAATATGCAGATAGATACCTGAAGGAAATGGTTTATGTACAAGTAATTTCTTGTTATTCAAATGTATCCAGTTCCTGAGATCACGTAGTAATTGTTACTTGTATATATATCAAGGAAAAGGTAAGCATGAGATCTCTTCTCTGGGAGTTGTCAGCTGTATTGGCAAAACGGTGTAATACTGGGCTCCCTAAATTTTTTCAGAACCAGCCATAACTACAAGAAATTTGAGATATTTTTCCTTACCAGTTTTACTTGATGAAAACATTAGAAACAGTTTCTGGAGGAATGACACTGTAAGAAACCTCAACGTAGAGTTTAAACTCTAACCCTTTATTCACATTAGACCACAATGCATTTAAAAGATTTAACCTAATTTTATAAAAGTCTGTTTAGTACTTAATGACCATGAGGGAACTCAGATGATTTGTTTTTAAAGATCAAGATTTAATAAGTTGATAAATCACTTATAGACTTAATATATAGATTCTGACACAGAATAATAGCTTAAATTCTATTCTAAACAGCAAGGCATATAAGAATAGATAACTAAAATTAATTTAGTATTTAAAAAGCCATTTTAATTAGAAATTACATTCTACATACAGGTGTTATTCCAAGAAGTTTCATTCCATTGGCTAGGACAGAACGGACAGCTCTGAAAAGATGAAGTCTGGCCTACAACATAAATCAAAGAACGATTAAATGTTCAATTCAATAGGCTAACTATAAAGTGAATAAATAAGAATGTTCTTAAGAGTAAATCTAAATGTTTTCTAATTTAAAGTAGAAACAGTATTGCAAAGTGCCCTAGGGTTTGCTGTAGGTAAGGGAACACAAAATTCCTAGAATCTCTAACTGTAACACTGGAACCCAAGGGTTGGGGAATGACAGTATCATACAGTACAGCTTCAGATAAGGAGAACTCATCACTGTAACATTTCATGTAGGAAAATGTGCTTCGTAGTTTAGTATGTTGGAAAGTATATAAATGCTGATTGTTACAACCCAGTTATAGTTATTACCTTAGACTATAACATTGCTGTTGTTGAACAATAGGATGCTATTTTAGAAACATTTGCAAGACTGACTCAGTAATATCAGTCTGGGGATGCTAGAGATTAACACACAAAACACTCAGTGTAACATACCCCAGCGACTTCAGGAGGACTCTCTTTTATGGGCAGTGTTCTGTGTGCCACAGCTGCAAGATGACTGCAACGGGAAGAGAGAAATTCTGGTTAGGACCAGCAGTAATTTCCTGTTGTAACATATAAGCCTGATACCTAATTTTACTCCCTCAATTTAAAGATACAGAAAAAAAGAAAAGAAAAAAAAGTATATATAGAGCCATTAAAATGTATCAAAAGTTGGAAAGCTGAAGGCCCTGGCCCGGTAGTTCAGTTGGTTAGAGTGTCGTCCCAATACCAAGGTCAGGGCACATACAAGAAGCAACCAATGAATGCATAAATAAGTGTAACCACAAATCTCTCTCTCCCCCTTAAAAAAAAAAAAAAA